CACAGAATATAGGTGCTCCAGCAAGTGTGAAGCGCGTGGTCCAGTGGTGCAGTGGTTTAACACGTCGCATTTAAATGGGTAGTTCGAATCCCTTCCGGCCCATAGATTTTTACAAAAGAACTTTGTCAACAAGGTTGACTGCAAAATCCTTTGAAGCATCAGAAAAAGAAAAAGGAGGGGTTTACCCTGTTCATCGAGCTCCTGGACTAGTTCGATCATAAGTTTTTGATAAAACGATTCGCCTCGTTCAATAATTTCTATTTCCAGCCGATCGTAAATTCGGCTAAAATCCTTCCGAGAGACATCGCAAATCAGTTGCCAAGCTTTCACAAAATCCGGATCATAATTCTGCAGCTTTACAACACAGTCATAGGCACGTGCTTTAAACGCTTCGTCGCTGTCAAAACGCTTTTTCGATTCCTGCAATACTGTCGGAAAATAATACTTACAAAAATAAGCTCACAAAATCATGCAAATCGCTACTTAGCAATACTTTGGATGGAGCGCATCATTAAAAATAGCGAATTACGTCACAACAAAACAGCCGCTGATAAAAAATAAAATCTGTGTACCTTATAAAAGGCCTGTAAGTCTGAGATTGGAGGCGCTTCATTTAGGAAATTTGGGAAACAATCCTGCAAATGTGCAATAAGCATGCCAAATTGTGTGCCCCAATCGCCAATATGATTCAGCCGAAGAACCTAAAAAAAACCTCACAGCAATATGAATATTTATTCAATTTCAGATGCCTTAGAATTAAGCAAAAAAATACAGACAATCATCAAAATTAACCAAAAATACAGAGACTGTTCAGGAAGCACACAGCAGAGAAATGCATTTTGTTCCAAAAAGTATTACTAAAAAATTTCGACTTTTAGGCTAAAAAACTAAAAAAATGCCTCCTAGGAGAAAAAAAACCATTTGAACTTTGGTCCTTGATTACTACTGCTATCTTATTTCTTCAGTTACCCTGCTCCCTCATAAAAAAAATCTCGTGTGATCTGTATTCAACTTACATCAAATCCCACATATTCCAGCAAGCGGCATATGCTATCGCCAATAATCGTCGATCGTAAATGACCAACATGCATTTCTTTGGCAATATTTGGTGATGAGAAGTCAACAATAACACGACGTTTTTCAATTTTCGGTATTTGGATACCCTGGAAAACATCAATCTAAAATTCTTTAGCTCACCTAATTCTGGCTAACGGTACTACTTCATGTTGGTGTTCGAAAAAAAGCTCCCTCCAGCAATTTATGTAAATCTGAGATTTCGATATTAAAAAAAAAACCTTTAAAGCAATATTTGCAATGCAAGAAGCAATATAATTCTTCTTCAAAAATACATTGACGTAGAAAGCACCGGCAACTTCCATCTGAAAAATCCAAGTTCAGCCTCATATTCAAAGTTTATGAAGAAATAAAATTTCAGTCAATCTCTATTTTCTGGTATGTTTGCTGTCCAAAATGCCAAAAAAATGCCGAAAAAAAAACGAGAATTGAACGAAAAAAATAAGTCAAAAAATTAATGAAACTGAAAATGTGCATAAGACGAAAATAACTCCCAAATAATTAACTCCTAAAAAAACCTAGCTTTTCAGGGGCCAAAACGAAACCCGGGATAGCAACCAGAGTGATCATTTGGTGCTGCAGAATTGATCAAAGCCATAGAAAAGTTGCCAGCTGCATGGATAAAAAAAAAACAAACTACGGATTAGCGGTTCTTCCAGGCATAACAAGTAATTCGATAAAAATCTTATGCAATGAACTCACTGCGTACCTTCTCGATGTAATCACATTGCGGCAGATTTTCCACTATTGCTTGTGCTATTTCACGTGGTGATATTTTGCGGCCAATCTGTTTCAGTTTCTGAAAAAAAAAAAAAAAAACACAGGCTTGCGGATGTTTTTTCACAAGGCGTATTTCTCTTTAGGCAGTGAAAAAAAAAACCTTATCTTTACCTGAGCAATTATTGCCGATGAATTAAACTGATAATCACCAAATTTCGCTTGTTGCGTTTCTACTACCAATATTGGAACCGAATTTATTTCAGGATAGAGCTAAAAAATTTGCAACGAAAATAAAATTTAGGAAAAAAAAAGCAGCTCGAAAAATTTTCTACGATTATGACGCATTGAAAAAAAAAACAGCGGAACTCGTACTGTGAGTTAAAAAATATTCCAAATATTCCAGATATAGGCACCAAATTTGAATTTGTGCATAAAATCTGGCTTACTCACAGAAAATCATCCAAAAAAATTACCTTCGAAACAGTTTCCGAAAAATGCTCGCGCAACATGCATAATACGGAACTTCCAAAATCATGCACACGAACATAACTGAATTTTTTCGTTTCTTTGGATATTTCAGCTTTGCTGTAAATTTAACACTGTCAAAA